TTAGTATTTATTTCCAAGGGCATTTCTGAGATCATGATAAACATGCAGTTGTTCTGATGGTTACATCCTATTAAAATTGTGCTTGCCCTCCCCTTCGTTAGTTCACACGGTAGTTAGTCCCTGTCAATACCTCGTAAATAATGGACTATTCCGTTCTGATCGCGTGGGAAGGGGTTGAGAGATATTACTTGGTTTCAGTGAGAAAATGAAAGAAAGAAAGAAAGAAAGAAGGAAAGAAAGAAAGAAAGAAGGAAAGAAAGAAAGAAAGAAAGAAGGAAAGAAAGAAAGAAGGAAAGAAAGAAAGAAAGAAAGATTGAAGTGTTTAACGGCTGTTTCAGTGAAATGGAAAAAAAGTTGTCAATTTCAAATCTTTCCATTTGTACCCCCTTACTTCTTAAAATAACGACCAGCATTCATATTTATGATTGTTATCGCAATATTTTGTTAAGCTCAAATATTCAGCGATGTGATAGGTAAACTTCTACGGATATTTTATTGTCATAGAACTCGCCATGAGCTTATTCAATCATTAACTTAAGATTTAAGATTCTTCAGAATATTAAAGTAGGAAAGTCGTGAAATTTTCACGCGTTAAAACTAGTTCATAATAAATGTAGTTATTTGAATAAAGCCATTTTCTGCCCTGTTATTGGTAAAATACCTTAGCATTTTGATCACAGCATAGGGGTAGAAGGAAAGAAGCAGTGTATAAAGGGAAGTAAGCAATGTTGATATTTTTAACAGTATATTTTAAAACTCTAAAATATACACTATATGAAATAAACACTATATGAATATACACTATATAAAGTATAAACTATATAAACTATATCTACAAACTATAATTTTTTAGCACTATATATAAATATATATGACTATATATCATATATATCACTAAATATAATGACTATATATCACTATATGTCACTACATATAAATATAAAGTATATAAATTATATAAACTATACAAATATAAACTATATATAAATATACACTATATAAACTATATAAATATAAAGTATATATAAATATAACCTATATGAAATAAACGACCCCCTAAATATTTAATGCTGCTTTACTTACAACGATTTAGCTAAATAAACGCAAATAGAAGGTTAAAACTTATTTACAATAAACGTTTAAGAAGTATTGTGAAATTTTTCTGGAAAAAAAAATACAAATGGCTAGCTTCTGAAATGTAAGTACTGAAGGGAGGTCTATTTACAGAAAACAGAACAAATCTATTTTGTAAAGTGGATATATGCTTGCTGGTTTGGAGTGAGGCTTGAAACGACAGCGTGCACATGCCTGGCAGGAGAGAAATGAGAGGAGGGAGTGGCAAAGAACGGCAGATGTGAAAAAAATCATCTTTAACTTTAACTGGTGACATAAAAAAGATAATACCTGTCATTTATTTCACCTTGAATATTTATGTCCTGTGTATGACGATAAACTACATCCGGCAGCACCGGGAGGTTTGAAGAGCGTGGAACCATCTCTGAACTGTTGTTGCTCCCAGTCCCACCCTGACCCGGTGTTGTAGCACATGTTAGCGTCCCAGCAAATAGCGAACCCCCAAACAAATACAAAACACTATGATAGTATGAAAATAACTTTTTATAGTAAAAATGCCAGCAATACATTTTTTATTAAAAAATTATCACCAATACCTATTTATAGTAAAATTATCACCAATACATGAAAGAACTCTCTCATGATATTAATCCATATAATATCCTACAATTTCTTAAAGAAATGAAACTTCAACAAAACTTCCACATAACACACGCCTATCACCCCTTTTAGTAATCCTGTCTCCACAAACATATATATGCACAAAGATGAGTATCATCTACCATGTATTCAATTGTGAAAGCAGAATAACATATATCATGTTTTTATTATTTCAAAGCTCCCCCAAAAAATTAAATTTCGGCAATAAATGATCCATGAAGGAGCTGATACTTTTAAACAAACAAATCAGTCAACCTATATAAGAGTTCCACTTGATTCCTGGATTGAGTTTAAATCCCAATAGGCGCTCAAGGCACGGAACCTCCCTGGCAGAACAGCTGTCCATCGATATAGCCATTGCTTTGAAATGCTCGCTATATGTTATGCTTTTTTCTGGTGCTGAGTCGTCTCGGTCCTGAGTCGTCTCGGTCCTGAGTTGTTCCGGTGTTCAGTCAACCGTGTAAAGTCGGCGATGTTGAGTTGGTGATGTTGAGTTGACCTGCACCCAAACACGCGGCCTTCCTGTGAGAACACCAGGTTTATATAGGTGAATACAAGGTCCGTTCGGGGATGAGGGACCATCACTAGTCTGATGACTCTTGTAACGACAGAGTATGACAGGACGAGTCAGGTACTTTCTAGCGCGGTATAAAGCGCCGACCATTTTTCAGCATCTTTATTGATGGTACGGGTATACGAGTTTCACAGTGAGCTTGAGTCTCACAGACATTCATTGAGTGTACAACCGTTCGTCAGTAAATGGAATAAAATTTAGTGTTTGTTCCGTGGTAGTGATGAGACCTTACAAGTTTGGTTTGGGGGGTATTGAATGATACAAATTAGTTTTTCCCCTCTCCAGAGTTAAATAGCGTAAGGTTGGAGCAATTGCTGTTGTTCCCAGGTCCAATCTGACCCGGGGTGGTAGCACCTGTCAGGGTCCTAACTATGGGCAAATAGCGACACCCCGCCAAACAAAAAAAAAACTATGAAAGTGTAAGAATACATTGTTATAGTAAAAATACCAGCAATGCAGTTTTATATGAAAAAATGGCCAACAATACATATTTATAGCAAACTGACTAACAATACTTATTTATAGTAAAATGGCCGACAATACATATTTATAGCAAAATGACTAACAATACTTATTTAAAGTAAAATGGCCAACAATACATATTTATAGCAAATTGACTAACAATACTTATTTAAAGTAAAATGGCCAACAATACATTTTTAAAGCAAAATGTCTAACAAGACAATTTTATAATAGAATTACCAACAATGCATTTTATAGCAAAATGACCAACAATACATTTTATCTGTAGTTGAAGGCATCTACTTTAGTTCAAAATATTTAGATTTCGGCATTAAATAACCCATAGAGGTGCTGATATGCCGCTAAACAAAATCAACTAAGCAACCAACGTGAAAGAACTCTTTCAATACATTAATCCTTATAATAATTAAATTGAATTATCTATTTTGGTTATTTTTAATTGTTTTAGCCATTTACATTTTTTTATGCAAGGGGGGTAACTCATGATTTATAAGGTGGTCCGAAAGTCTTGTCACCTCTATATAGTAATATTTTTTTTTATTTCAGATGGCTGATACGAAAATGATGGTGTTCATACAGACCTTCTCGGTGCGTGACAGCATCAGTGAAAGTGAATAAACTGAATCCTGTACACGTGCTTTGTATTACTCTATTCTTGTTCTATTGTTCTCATTAGTTTTTGGTAGGGTGTGACAAGACTTTCGGACCATCCGGTACTTTAATGAAAAAAAAAAAAGAATCAGTGCTTGTTTATGCAAATATTAGTCACCCTTATGTTAGGGTAATCAACATTTTGGATAGTAAATATTTCCGGGCTCTTGAAACATTTATCCCAGAAATAATATTGACGGATTCAGTGTGAGTTTAGATAAAAATGACAAACACAAAACAATAAATATAAAACAAATGACAATAGTAACGGAAGTGAAAAACATTAAAACAAGTTATAAGAAGAGTGTGCTTGTTTGCGTGTGTGATAGACACGTATGTGTATATGCGTGTGTGAGAGAGTTCGAAAGCCTTAGGAGGACCAAAGAAGCGAACGCGCCTTGTCGGCAGCGTTCCTATCTACGTGCGACTAAATCTGAAAGCCAAAGCTAAAACAATCAAAAAGAGGGTGAATGAGACTATCATTGCCTATTTATAAGCTTAAAGATTGCCTTTAGCGTGCGTTTTGGCACAGTTAAATGGTGGGGGTGTAACTCTCAGGATTCTGTGTTAACTTAAAAATGTTATATAATTTATTTTAAGTCTTACAAAATGAAAATTTTTAAATAATTTACTTCCAAAATGATTTTTTTTTAAAAAGTTTGTTTATTAATTTTTTCGTAGGTCGTAAAATATTTGAAGTAGGTACTTAGGTTTAGAAAATATTTCATTTAAAACTTTGAGGCGAGAATTCATATGGTAATGAAAATGATCATATCTGTTTACTTATAAGGAAACATTCGGCATTCATTGACTGAGTAGCCAGTGCTATTGGAGCTACGCTTTTCTCTACACCCTACTCATCAGGTTGAGATCAAAGTGTAACATCTGTTTTGCTCATCTGTAATGGTAATGATAATATTATGTGTTTCCTTATAAGGAAATATCCAGCGTTCATTGAACAAGCAGTTCATACTACTGTCGGTTGAAATTTATAAACTCTTTCTGATAGAAAAATTCTTCGGGAAAATAGGATTCTAATATACAGTAACTAGTATCACGCTTTCTATTAATGATGTTTTTTTTTTACATTTTTTTTTCCGAAGCAGTATAGAAGGTCAACATATTACTATCTCTACGAAGTAACGTGTGCTATCCATTTAGGTTGTTGTTGCTATTGTGGAAAGATTGATGTAGTTTCTGCTATTTGGTACATTTCTTTCTTTGTCATTGTGAGAACGAGGGTCGAAGAAAGGTGGTCCTCGCCAAGATCTACAGTCTAAAAAGTTCGAAGAAGGGACGTCGTCACGAAGATCTACCGTACGCGAGGTTCGAAGATCGTTGAGATCTACGATCAATGAGGTTCGAAAAACGGTGGTCGTCGCTAAGATCTACAGTTTACGACGCTCGAAGAAAGGTTGCCCATCGATAATATCTACAGTCCATGATATTCAAAAACGTTGAAACTTGCTAAGGTCTACACTCAACAAAGTTCGAAGAAGGGTGTCCCTCGCTAATATCTACAGTTTACGAAGTTCGAAGACGGGTGTTCCTCGCTAATATGTACGATTCACGAGGTTCGAAGAAGGGTGTTCCTCGCTTATATGTACGATTCACGAAGTTCAAAGAAGGGTGTTCCTCGCTAATATGTACGATTCACGATGTTCGAAGAAGAGTGTTCCACGCTAAAATGTACGGTTCACGAGGTTCGAAGAAGGGTGTTCCTCGCTTATATGTACGATTCACGAGGTTCGAAGGAGGGTGTTCCTCGTTAATATGTACGATTCACGAGGTTCGAAGAAGGGTGTTCCTCGCTTATATGTACGATTCACGAGGTTCGAAGAAGGGTGTTCCTCGCTAATATGTACGATTCACGAGGTTCGAAGAAGGGTGTTCCTCGCTTATATGTACGATTCACGAGGTTCAAAGAAGGGTGTTCCTCGCTAATATGTACGATTCACGACGTTCAAAGAAGGGTGTTCCTCGCTAATATGTAAGGTTCACGAGGTTCGAAGAAGGGTGTTCCTCGCTTATATGTACGATTCACGATGTTCGAAGAAGGGTGTCCCTCGCTAATATGTACGATTCACGAGGTTCGAAGAAGGGTGTTACTCGCTAATATGTACGATTCACGAGGTTCGAAGAAGGGTGTTCCTCGCTTATATGTACGATTCACGAGGTTCAAAGAAGGGTGTTCCTCGCTAATATGTACGATTCACGAGGTTCGAAGAAGGGTGTTCCTCGCTTATATGTACGATTCACGAGGTTCGAAGAAGGGTGTTCCTCGCTTATATGTACGGTTCACGAGGTTCGAAGAAGGGTGTTCCTCGCTTATATGTACGATTCCCGAGGTTCAAAGAAGGGTGTTCCTCGCTAAGATTTATAGTCCACGAAGTTCGATGGAGAGTCATCGTTGCTAAGATCTACTCTACACGAGGTTCGAACAACGGTCGTCCTCGCTAATATCTACGGTTCACGAGGTTTGAAGAAAAGTGGTTCTCGCTAATAACTAATGTCAAGGATATTCAAAAACGGTGGTCTTCGCCAAGATCTGTAGTCCACTAGGTTCGAAGAAGAGTAGTCTTCGCTAAGATTTACGGTCCACGCGATTCGAAGAAGGATGGTCTTCGCTTAGATCTACGGTTCACGAGGTTCGAAGAAGGGTGATCTTCGATGAGATATACAGACCACTAGGTTCGAAGTAAGGTGGACCTCGCTATGATCTACAGACACAGATTTCTGGAAAGGGTAACATGTTATATAAAAATTTGTTTTAAGAAGATTTATATGAAATCATATATTACAAAAATAATTATTTCTACTTTTTAAATATATTTTAAGGAAATTGTTGACAGCAATAATACATTTGATGAGTCACACGAGGTCACATAAGAACTATGAAGTAAATGCTGCAAGTAATCGAAAGAGACAATTCCTTTCCTAATGAAGGAAAGAACTGAAGTATTTGGGTCGTGGTTGGCCACTTGTACCCGAATATGCCTGCCTACTAGGGCATCTTGCCGGATTGGATGTTGCAGATGCCTACTTAGGCACCTAGAGTTTTGGGTTTGTTTGCTTTGTTTTGTTTTACGGCATATCAACCACAATGGGTCATTTAATGCCGACAACTTTTTTTTTTGTGGTAATATTTTTGTTTTGCCAAAAATCTATTTCTGGTAATCTTTTTTTTCCTCAAAAATGTATAACTGATAATATTTTTAAAAATGCATTGCTGGTAACAGTTTTTTTTTTTTTTCAAAAACGTATTGCTGGTAATAGTTTTTCTTCTTCAAAAATTTATTTCTGGTAATAATTTTTTACAAAGTATTTCTGGTATTAAAACTTAGTTTTACACTTTCATAAGGCATTTTAACTCAGTTTCGGGGTTAACTATTTAACCATAGCTGGGACCCTAACAATTGCTACCACCCCGGATCAGGGTGGCCCTGAGAATACCAGCAATTAAGAGGTGGTTCCACGCTCCTCAAAACCTCCTGATCAGAGGCCTTGCTGTTGGACGTAGTTTATCGTCTTACCCTGGACGTGGATGTCGTTTATCGTCATACCCAGGACGGTTAGGCACCTAGAGAGCCCACCTATGATTTATACTACAACGATCCTGAGCGTACCTTAATTACAGTTTCTGGGAGAGAGCGAATTATCCGGCATGATCAACAGTCTGAACAAAGTCATTACGCTCAAACCCTCGATGACTTGTGACTTCGTGCTAGCAGAACCCTCGCCGGCTCCAAAACAGTTCAGTCTACCAAATTTCACTCATTAGCCTTGGGTCAATCAGTGGTATGGTTTTCAGACACTTTCCACAGGTGTCGCACGTGGGGATCGCCTATTCCAGGCTGATAATGTCACGTTGCTGAGTAATCGACTATGATGAGATTTGAACCCGAGTTTCATGCTTGGAAAGCAAACGCTCTAACCTCTCTAATCTTGCTCAAAAGGGATTAAGATATAATTTTAAGAACGAATCTTACAAGCGTACAATGGACAGAGAATATGTCAAATAAGAGAGTTTAAAAAAGAATCAAGCAATCAACTCAGGCCTCCCCGGGGTCACTTGTCTAAGCAACCCTCTTTTTACTTTACATGAATGATCTCCCTAAGAGTATACTCAAATCATTTGATAACGGTATATGGGTGCACCTTCAAAACTCGTGTTGACCAGAGATTGACGGCTGATCTTTCATCCAATTTAGCTCGAAAATTTCGGTAGAGGAAAAACTGACTGATTAAATTCAATGCTTGCAAAATCAAACAAGTTACATTCCATTCATCGTCACAATGAATGAACATCCGCTAGTGGAGGCTCCGTGCCTTCAGAAACTATTGGCCTTAAACTCACCCCTGACTTCAAGTGGAACTCGTACATGTGGAAGAAAAGATGACTTACCTCGTGTGGCAAAGCGAGCACGTATATGCCTGGTGTGCAAACGTACAAAACGAGTGAAGGAAAGGAAAAAGAAATATGGCAGCCCCGACACCTTAATTTAAGAAAGACACGGTCTCGGAGCTACGAGAATTAGCGAGAGTGATTGGGCGTATGCTAATTTTTTGCGAGATCAATTCGGCATAAGAAAAAACAAACAAACAAAAAAAAAAACACCACGCAAGAGAGTATAGTCAATACGTTCGTGAACGTAGTACTTCTTTCACGGAGAGACTTTGTCAGTTAGGAAAGCGATTATTTGAACCAGTACATATGATCAATCACTAAAACTGCAGAAAAATGGTCAGTTCCCTGTACTGCTCTAGTAAGTAGCTGACTCCTCGGGCCTTCCTCTATCTTTACAAGAGTCATATCAGGTCTAAAATGGAGTACTGTTGTCATATTTGCGTAGGAGATGCCCAGGTCCTCACTTTCCAATCAAAAGCGTCTCCGCGTCCTTGTGGGTGACAAATTATTCCCCCCCCCTGCGATCCCTCTCTCACAGACGGGATGTGGGAAGGCTCTCACTGCTCTATCGATACATCTATGGAAAGTGCTCGGACGAACTGCATTCCTTGGTTCCGCTAGTTCTAAGCTTCACCGGCTAGGACCTGTCATGCCATTCACCATCTAGCAACCCTCCCTACATACCCTCCGTATTCCATTGGTCAGAAGAAACTTCCACTCGAACAGCTTCTTTACTCGAATCGCTGCTCTGTGGAACCGACTCCCAGGGGGATGCTTCCCCGATCACTACAACTTTAACATTTTCAAGTTTATGGTTAACAGCTATCTTTACCTCCTATCCGCAAAAACTGCCTTTTATAACCTTCTACCTCGAGTGTCTCTCGGGCATTCTACAGGTTGAACCTCGCTTTAAAAAAATAATCTTCTATATGGAAGTGAATATTGGACAATCTTTTCATGCCTTTCAGAATGTAAGCAAAGTATTAAGAGATAGGAAAATATTAGAAACAAAGAAGAGTGCTAATCTCCTATATGGCAGTGAATGCTGGAAGATCTCCTTATGCCTTTCAGAAACTAAGCAAAGTATTAAGAGACATAAAAATGTCGTTAGACACAAAGAAAAGAGTTTTGGGGTGCGATACAATATCTAATCTCCTATAAAGCAGTGAATGCTGGACAATCTCCCCATCCTTTTCAGAAAGGAAAAAGTCTTAAGAGACAGAAAAATGTTGTTAGAAACAAAGAACACGTGTTGAACTGCTGTGTTATATCTAATCTTCTATATGGAAGTGAATGGTTACACCTATCAACAGACACCTGAAGAAAGACGGAGAGCACAATGGCCGAAACGTTGTGATAATAACAACAAAGATAAGGAGATTAATCTGCATTTAAATAATCTAAAGAAAATGAAACGTTATCAAGGACACATGGCACAGTGGATAAAGGCGTTGGTTAGATCCAGTAACAGGACCCAAAGAGTGTGAGTTCAATACCTGGTTAAGGCAGTGGAGAACTTTCAGAGAGAAATTAGCAGGAGATAAGTGATAACTGACATCCATCAAACATGGCATGTGGAACTAGAACAGTCTACCCCAGTGAACGAAATAAAGAGTTCAGTTCGAAATTCCGACCACCTGAAGAAGGCCGGAGCGTACAACGGCCGAAACGTTGTGATAAATATGGCGACAAAAATAAGGACAATAGTCCGAATAATGTAAATAATGTTATTGTTTACATTTGCGTTTCTTTATACTTTAATTTGGAAAATAAATTCCCTGTGAGATTTTCAATCAGGAAAATATTCCTTTCCTTCCTTTGGTGCTTCAAACAATTACACCTGTTGAGGTAAATTTTTAAATTATTTGAATATAACAAATAGAATTTACAAAAGTCTAGGGTTTTATTCTATCCACATAAACTGCCTCTTTCACTGTAAACCCCTAACTTGAGTGGCCCCCGGGCCTTGTATAGAGTTAACCTCATTGGAAAGAAATAAAAAAAAATGTACCAAGAACATGGTGTTTTTAAACATTCAGAATGACCCTGTTGAAATTTAATGCGGAAATTATGTTCTTGAAGACTTTTATTTATAGAGTGTGGCACCATGCATCCTGACGATTTGAAAGAAATATTCATAGATATATGATTTGTTTTTTTTACGGTTTCAAAGGATCGACCCTAGGGCAGCCACGTCACGTCACATCTGGTGCCGTGATCAAAGGATCGACCCTAGGGCAGCCACGTCACGTCACAAGAGCGTTAGGAGTCGGAAAGGGTGATCCTTTTTTCGACTCGTGTTATTATTTATCCCTCAACCAATATTTGTCAGATTCACGTGAGCCCAGGAAAAAAAAAAAAAAAGGACTCAAATAATCCCGGCAAGTAATTAAGTCCCAAGAATGAACTTGAGTATCTCCTCCATGAAGGGAAAATAAGTTTCGTCAAAATATTTTGATGTGACATATTTTCATGATTTAGTCAGACAGTTAAGTGCCATAAGCGATAGACTCTTAGATGATCAGGTCTCTCTCGGTTTGAGCAATTCGACATGCCGTAATGATGAGCAAGCTTGACTCGCTAGATCAATTACGACTGAGTAGTGAGTTTGATCCTCACTGGGTGCCCCACACTTTCGGCTTTGTCCCACATCTGAGCTACGCTTAGAAAATCATTTGGGCGCCTCAACGTTTTGTAATGATTAGCAAGCTTGACTCGCTAGATCAATTACGACTAAATAGTGAGTTCGATCCTCACTGGGTGCCCTACACTTTCGGCTTTGTCCCACATTTAAGCTACGCTTAGAAAATCATTTGGGCGCCTCAATGTTGTATAATAATTAGCAAGCTTGACTCGCTAGATCAATTACGACTGAATAGTGAGTTCGATCCTCACTGGGTGCCTCATACTTTTGGCCTTGTGCCACATCTAAGCTACGCTTTGAAAGCCACCATATCTCTTCGATTCATGACTAACAAGGCAGAAGATATTCCTGCAATAGGTGATCGT